AGGGGGGAAAAATGAAAAAAAAAAAAATGGGGGTTATAAAAAAAAAAAAAAAAAAAAAAAAATCATGGTTTTTGTTTTAGGAGCCACTCATGAAAGAAATATTTAAATGTCATGTAAGTTGGTTTAAGCTCCTGCCAGCAAGAACCCAGGAACCAATGTTTACCAAAATACCAGGAATGTGTATAGACAGACTACACTCTGCCTGTTAAGACACTGGGAAAAGATGAGTTGTTGTTCTGTGGCATGTGTAACTAGATTGTGGAATTTGTATGTTGGGTTTCAGGAGAATGGAAATGTTTGTTTGGAGTGAGGTCGTCATTATATTTTGCTGAAATAATCAAGGTACAGTAAGAATTAGGCCTGTTTACAAAACTAAATCCAACCCCTGTAGATGTTACAAACATTGTATGCCTTCAGAATTTGGGGGTTTGTTTTGCTCACTTCTTCACAGGCAAATATTTGGCAAGGACCAAAGGAAGCATGCCACACAGTAGAATGAGTTTACCACGTTTGACAGAGCCATAAAAATCAGGTAAAGGCAAGAAAAATACCTTAACTTTCAGCTAGTGACTTTCCACAGGTCTCTTCCTACAACAGTAACTTCTGCTTGTCCCTCTTACAGTTGAGAGTGGTTCAGGACATTGTGCCCTAACCACAAACTTTTGATTTTCATGTTGATGCTGATATTTTTACCATGTTGAATAAGAGTGGAAGAGTCTTTTGCAGTCCAGCACTGTACAGAAGTGCCATCCATGTCAGCACAGGAATTGCTTTGCCCGCTCACCATGGGGAACAGGTGATTAACCTAAACCCTCTGCCTATAACTGAATTTTATTGAATGCAGTGGAAGTGCGATGCACAGATTGTCCACTTAGTATAGAAAAAGTACAGCTTTGTAATGTCAGCTCTGAAAAAAAGCCCCAAGGACAACAAACACATTAAAAGTATTCCTAATTACAATGAGGAACAAAGCAGCAGAGAGATCGTTAGCATTCCAGATTGCTAATTAGCACTCAAATATTGCTCTGGTGAAGCAGGATAGACACATAGATTTGTCTGGTGAAGCCCACTAGGACTGCATTAACATGTGGTCTCAAACTGTATTTTGTCTTTCATATCTGATTTCCATAGCCAAGCTGTTTATTGTGTTTAAACATAAACTATTACCAACATATTACAAAGTAAGTGAGAAGCTCGTAGATGCGAAACTTTGAACTGTAGTGACAAAATGTGCTAACGTCTCATGATGAGTGAAGGAGTGCGAAGGACCAAACGAAATCAGAGCTACTGATCAGACACCCCCACGCTACTCCGCGTTGCTCTGTGTACCAGAGGTGTGGTGGGACACACCTCGGTCTCATCTGTACGCTGCCATCTCGCCAGGACTGCAACAGCCCAAACCTTGGAGCAACTTCCAACAGCCATCATTAAAAAAAAAATATATAAAAAAGAAATTTACAATGGAGAGCAATGTCTGGGTTTGTTTGTATTTTGTCCCCCCTGCCCCAAAGGTAGGTTTTTGGCCTGCCCAAGGAACGAGCTGTTCAAGCAGCGCAGTGCCTGGGTGGGCAGGAGGCTGAGCCCTGTGCCTGGGGTGTCTGCAGCAAGGTCAGCTGCTGCCCTGGGCTGCCAAAACCCAGCCTCAGCTGCTGCTCCACAGAGCCACAGAAACACCCCGGGGCCTTTTCTACCTGCCCTGTACTTGGCTCCTGGGACAGGTGTTACATATTGGAGTTTCCAGGGCGTGAGGTATTCCAGGAGGTGTTCAGGGGGTGAGAACAGCCCTCTGCATCCACAGAGGGCTGCAGAGGTGGGAAGCAGCTTTCCTCCAGCATAATCCCATTCATTATCACTTCTGATAAGATCAGCCCCTGGCCGGTCCTGGGATAACTTGGATCTGGGCACAAACATGTTTTTTTATGTAAGGGAGTTCCCAGCCCTGAGCTCTTTGCTGGAATCCTGTGCTGTGCTACAGGAGCACTAGAAGCACTGGACTCGCTGCCCATCAGCCTGGCCAAAGCTCTCTGTGGGCACGGGCTGTGTTCCAGCTCCTGTCCAGAGATGCAGGACACATTGTTCCCCCAGGGGAGCAGGGACCAGCAGTGCTAATTCAACTCTAATAAGCAAAAGGCTGTTGTGTGTTACTGTGATCCTGTCCTACAGCACGGGGGCTTTGGACAGACCAGGGACCTTGGAACACCCTGGACAAGCTGCCAGCCACACTCACTGTACTGCACTCTATATCCCATTTGGGTTTTTTTCCAGTTTGTGACTACCTTGAATAATTTCATTACCATTCAGGCTCATTGTCACAGGAAATTTAGATGTTTGCTGGGATACTTGATCACTACATTCACAAAAGCTGGTTCTCCACTAAGATAGATTTATTCCTAACTTTTAACAAGTCATTAAACCTCAAATTCTCCAATCTGTGAGGACTCGGAGGTTTAGAAACCTCTGTAAAGGATCCTGACAAGTTTTTGGCCTGTAAAGCACACACAGCTACACACCTACAGACTTTCTCACTGAACCCAGAGTTACGAGACTTTCATTTCTCCTTCCTGTCACATTCACTCCAGCCTTTTTCATAGGATCACCTATTTGTCCAGCATTCCTTTAGTTCCTCTGATCATTCCTGCAGCCTTTCCTGAGGTCACAAGTTGCCTTCCACTGCCTGATGACAAAGGTGCCAGGTTGCATTAGCCATGGTACGTAACCCAGACCTTTGTAGCTCACCAATTTCATTTTCAAGACTCCAAAGAACCCATAGGAACACAGCTCTGTTGACATAAAATTTTATTTTATTGACTATTCCTTAACACCTTTTGGCATCATCACCACACATTCTGTGCTGCCCTGGAGATGAAAGCACATGGTCAGTCAAGGGCTGCACTGTGCTTGTTCCCCAGGCTGTCATGCCAAGGGCCTGCCACCTGGAATCTTGTCATTCTGGAACCCTTCACCTGGTCTCCCATTTCACCCTTGCTGTGCTCAGCCTCCTCCTCACCACCCTGCTCCTGCCAGCTCTGGCACTGCAGGACAGGATCTCAGGGCAAGCAATGGGCAACAGCATGAGAATTTCACCCCTCCTTTCCCCAGCTTCTTTTGGAGTTTGAGACCCAAAAGTTAATGTAGATGAGCACTACCCCAAAATATCTATTTGCAGAAACATTTGGCAACTACTGTGCAACACTTGCATCTCATCTACACATAGTGCTTAGGACAAAGATGCATCATGGATTTACAGCTAAGGTTGCTTTAGGCAGTTTGGGCTTTGTTTTCCTAATTAGCTCCAGACAGTTTGCTTTCTTGACCATTACTGCAGCCAGAGCACGTCTGTCTCAATATGGACCTTCAGTCAGGAACGTGCTCTTGCATTGCTCAGAGTTCACCACTACTGGGTGAAATTTGGATGCTTAACCACAATGTGCTTCACTTCACACTCAGCTGCACTGAATTTCCCTTTCAATCCAATCCTCACACTCCACTAGTCAAAGTAAATCAGTATGGCCAAAATTCCCTGCCCTAATCCACCGAGTTTCCTTAACCAGACAAGAGGGCTTCCCTCATTCCATGGGATCACTCACCCAAGGTCCTGCCAAATGCCTTTTGAAGTACAAGAGATCTTCTTCCTATCCCTGAGGACTCTTAAAGAGCTGCAGAGGTCTTCTGGGACACAACTTGCCACTGGAAACACCACTTTTGTCCTCTGTCATGATCCATGTTTCTAAATCCATTCTTTATTAGTTTGTTTTCCTTGTACACAGTCCATCTCAGAATTCCCACAGACCCATGTTTAAAACAGGTATCACATTTGATCCACCCAAGAGCTGAGCCCTGTGAGGTGGCCAAAGAGAAGCAGCTTCTCACTCTAAATACTGAGACAGGCTGAAAGGAGGAGACCTGGAGTCAGTGGGCCAAGACAGGTGGTGCATGGTATCAAAGGCTTGATGTCTGATCACAGATGATCATGGCAATCTTTATTTCCAAGTTTAAGTGAGTAACCTTTTATCAGCCAAATCTAAGAAATAACAAAGCCTTCCCTAAACATCCAGACAGTAAAACAAAAATGGAAATTTACTCAATTTTCTACAAAGCCCCTGCGCTGAAAAGAGCTCTCTGCCCATATGGCCCTCAGGTGATCATTCCCCAAGGGAACTCAGCTGAGAGCAAGGCAGCTGTGTGGAGACAAGTGAGAGCTTCCTCTTACCCTCAGGATGGGAAATGGAGGCACTTCTATGCCTTCAGTGCACCCTCAGTGGGCAAGCAGGAAAGCAGCTGAAATGAGATATCACTGAGCAACAGCTGTGTAGAAAGAAATTACAATCTTCTGCCTGAAAGCAGCACCTACAGTTGCTTTCCATCTGGCACAGGCAGAGCTCTTCATAAGGAAGCTCCCAAATCTGTAGCCTCTGACTGACTGCTTAGAACCGTGTTATTTAACTTTTGTCTCCAAGGTTAAAGACAAATAGATAAGGTGGTCCAAATCTATTTGGATTTTTCTAAGTTTTCCCATTGTAGGAGGTGAACCCCTGCAGGACAAATTAAGCCCACAGGCAACAGTGAGCCTTTTGGGCCCTCCTGCAGGTGCCTCAGAAGCAGCACAGGTGACATCAGGTCAAACATTGCTCCAAGGACTCCCACACTGCAGTTGTTAAAAGCCCATGGACTGACACTGAAAAACTCCAGTTTTCATCCAAGCTGATCACTTCAGAAACACCATCCCATGGGAACAGCTGCAAGTCAGGGCAAAAGAGCAGGTGATGACTTTTGAATTATTTTGTGGCAAGTAAACTACTGTATTTTTGGTACTGGACATACAAAGGGATCTTACATGTACCTAGAGCAGAAACACCACTCGAGCAGGAGTGTGGACAGAGAGGACAGCACATGTAGTGCCAAAACAAACTGCTGTGCAGCAGGACACTGGTGCAAGACTTAAGGCAAAATAATCTCTAGTGATCAACATCCAAGAGCCACAAGAGTAAATATTGTGGGGTAATTTGAGGAGCTCAGTTGGCATCACAAAATCAGAAAGCAGAGCTGAAGAACTGAGCAAAGGGATATAGAGCATTCCTTATTTGTATCTTATGCATGTTATTTGTCAGTTTTTGTGGTAACAGTTTACAAAAGATGAAAAAATTTGGGTTTGTAGCCTCTCCCTTGGGCCAGGCCTCCAGAAACACCATCAGAAGGTCTGGATGTCTGTGATCCAAAGTGCAGCTCAACGCTTCACTCCTTAGGAGCTTTCTGGGAAGCAGGAACCAACACTGCTCATGTCAGGCTAAAAGACAAAACAGAAAGAAAGTTTAGTTGTGCCAGAGTGCAGAAGGCATTTCAAAATACCAGCTTCAGTCAGTTCTCACCTTCTCATTACAAAGGCACAGAAGAAATTTCCCTTCCTAGGAAAGGACCTATGAAAAGAGGGAAGCCAGACATTGTGGCTGCTAACAGCCAGACCTCTCAGGCTGGCAAAGGCAACATGCATATTCAGCCTGGCCCAGGCTCGGAGTAGGCTTTATTCCAGCTCTGATACTCTCAGAGACATCAAGACTTTCAACCCAAGCTGTAACAGGGCAAAGAATTCTTTAAAGGGTTTTCCACTGAACGAATTCCTTATGCCATAAACAATTCCCAGACTGTGGCTGAGAACTCAGCAACCAAGTTACAATGCTCAGGTAGTTCAGGAACACAACTTCAACACCACATCAGTGGTCCTCAGGGTTGTAACTCAAGGCCCAAAACCAGTTACCACAGGATAGTAATCTGTGCTTATGCCTAAATGTAAAACCATTTGCTTATGAAAAACATTTGTGTACATTAATGAATGGGGAAGGTCCCATATCATTACCACTCCAGACAGAAACTCCTGCCTCACATTTAAAAGTAACTTGGATAAAGCCTTTAACAAAAAAGTTTAAAAAAAAATTCAAGTTAGCAGTTTTAAATGTAAGAGGTTTAAGGCAGCAGCAGCTGACAAGTTCCACAGTTTTTCTGGCTCCAGAAAAGGTTACAGCAAATATCTGAAATACATTGAATAACTACAGTGATCGAAAGCCAAGATGGCAAACAAAATCACTGGTATTTTAACTTTTAAAATAAGATTTGTTTTAAAAAACCCATTCATGTCATGGCTGAGCACTGAACAGTTAGGGAAGAAAATCTGCCACCTGAAACAGATGTTAGTTCTCACAAAAAGGATTCTCATTGCAACAAAACATTCCATAACCCAGTGAGTAATTGCTGCCAGTAACCAACAAAAGGGAAGAGGAGTGAAAAAATGATAATTAAAGTGGATAGATCAATTGTGAAATCAGCTGCTTTTATAATACAATCTTGACTGTTTTGATCATGATTCTGCCTGGAGGTGGATCCTCCCTACCTGTCAATCAGGGAATCCCTCATGTTGGTGGCAATGGTGCTTGGCTGAGCCTCGTTGAGCCTGAAGATGCTCTCGATGACAGAGAGCTCGGTGCTGGTGGTGTCCAGCCCACAGAAGGCGCACCAGTCGTTGACCACCATCCCCGCTGCGATCACCTCGCTGCCGCGGTTCACCGTCCCTGCCTGCCAGGACACAGCAGCCGTGAGCAGGAGCTGGCACAGCTCCTCACACAGCCCTGGCACAGGTCTTTGCTGGGTGGCTCAGCTCACACTGCTGAAGACAGGAACTCTGCCACCAGCAAGGTCCTGAAGGTGTCAGATAAAATGATTAATGATCAGCCTTGACTCTCTGGTGAGAAACTGGTGGCTTTCAGTGAAAGAGAATCCAATAAGCAGGAAGGATAACAGCATTCACACATCCAACTGAGTAGGCACATTCTTACTTAATCTTTTTAAACACTGGCTTCAGCCAAACCACAAACAGCCTCACATTCTTTATCTGCACAGTGTACACTATCCCAGCAGAGCAACATTTCAGAAGGCAGCTAAAAGCACTGAGTAGCTCATTCAGACTCAGGAAAGACAGGAAACCGTCTGGAAGACTTGGTTCAAGTCTTCTCCTCACCCCCCTCTCAGAATCACTTCACAGAATATGGGAGCCCCTGAGCTGGAGAAACATTGCAACTGAGTTGGGAGGGAATGGGAGGAGCAAATACTCCACAAATGCCTTACCACGAGTGGGACCTGCAGCAAAGAAGACAGCTCATCCTGGTCATCGATTGAAGTTTTGGGGTGCACGATTCCTCCTTGGTTACTAAAAACACAGTAACTTCCAACCAGCACCTGGTCTGCTACTGTTTGTCTGAACACCTCCACCTTCAGCACATCTGCCAGGATCTCTTCTGTCTCCTGCAAATGGAAGAGGATAAAACCTTTAGCTAAACAGTATTGTGGAGTGGGAAGTCAAGCTATTCCTGCACACAATCCTCAGCTGGGAGCCTCTCACACTGCACAGCTCATTTCAACCCAGCCATGATAACACACACAGCCAAGCTCCATAATCCACATGTTCCCACCTTCCTGTGTCACTATAAACACAACCACATGCCTTTGCTGAGATATGCCCAAATCCCTCCTCTCTGCTGGGAGTACATCACTTGTATCAATTCTCAGCAAACCAGTCCTCTTTGCTCCCAATCCACTGGGACAAAATGGTCTTATGCTTCTCATAACTATATCAACTTCCTTCCTCTCTAGGTTTCACCATGAATTATTTTGATTTTTCTCTCTCTGGCCATCTTACTTTACTTTTTAGAAACATATAGTGCAAAGCCTTCTCCCATCCCCTTATTTTTCACTTTGCACTCCTGCCACCAAGTCACATTTCTTCATCACCTTTAGCACTAGCTGGAAGCAAACACTGTCAGGACACAACACATCTCTCTCAACACTGTTAAGGTACCAGTTCTCAGACATAAAATAGGAGTGACTTTGTCTCCCCTGCCCTTATTTCAAATTCCCATACAAGAACCTTCTACTTTTCTTCCAGCCCCCTGTAATGATGCTATTAGATGTAATGATCTCAGCTATGACATGCTCTGGCTCACTCAGCTGTAGCCTTTAACTCCTTCTGTGGTCCTCACTGCACTCCTCCTTACGCTCCTTATCAGACCTGTGCACACTCTAATTCACTCAATTTTATGCACCCAAAGCAAACTGCACACAATGATCACTGAATCACAGAATGGTTTGGGTTGGAGAGACCTTAAAACTCATCTCATCCCACCCCCTGCCATGGGCAGAAACACCTTTCACCAGACCAGGTTGCTCCAAGCCCCATCCAACCTGGCATTGGACACTTCCAGGGATGGGGCTTGGAGCTCCTCTGGGCACCCTGTGCCAGGGCCTCACCACCCTCACAGGGAAGAATTTCTTCCCAATATCCCATCTAACCCTGCCCTCTGGCAGTGGGGAACTGTTCCCCCTTGTCCTGTCCCATGCTACACAGGACTCCCCACTCCTTCCCTTCTCCAAAGCACATTCACCACAGCTGAGCTGGCCGGAACAATTCCAGCCTCAGTGTGGGCAGCAATTCCCAGCCCCACTCTGAATGTGGAAGCGTCCCAGAGCCCTGTACCCTGTCCAGATCCGGGTGAACCAGAGCCACATAGTCATTGCAGGTGGTGACATTGCCCAGAGCTGACAGCCGCTCCTCCACGCGCTGGATCCGCACGGAATCCGGGAGGCTGTTGCGGATGTGCTGCAGCTCTTGGTCTGTCGTGCTGCTTGGGACCAGCAGCCCGTGTCTGTTCCCTAAAATGACATAAAGAAATAGAATACAATTAAAAAAACATTTCCACAAGGTGTGTTAGCACTTCCCTCCTGTTCAGACATGGCTTGAGCTGCTCTTGCTCTGTGAGTTCCTTCCAAGCTCAGAATTCAGCCTAGGAGATGTAAAAATAACCAGCACCACAGGGAAAAGAAAAACCAGGCTGAAGCACCAAATGTGGGTGAATGGCACTATCTTTACTCCCTTCTCTCTTCCAGCAAGACTAAAGGAGGCCCAAGGCTCTCAGTGAGACACTTTACAAGGAACTCTCCGTGCAGATGCCATTTGCCCTACAAAAGGCCCGGTGCTACTGTTTGTGTGACTGTGGCAGCACGACGGAATGGTTAAAGGAACAAGTAAGCAAGAAGCTGTTCTGACATAAGAGGGTCTCACCAGGCACAGACTGGCTTTCCCCTGACTTTCACGTTCGCTAATGCCTCCCCCTACCCGGGCCGGCACTGAGGAGCAGTGGAGCTTCCCTGGCCCCGAGAGCAAACACCCTCCACCCCGGCTCCCGGGAAAATCTCTGTTTCCCCGTCCTTCGCAGAATCAGCCAGGTTGGAAAAGACCTTTGAAATCATCCTTCCTCCTCCTCTCACACTCGAGGCATTAAATCAACCCTCAAGGGCGAGCGGCGCTGCCCCACGGGCTCCCCGGCTCGGCTCAGCCCCCGCTGCGGCTCCGACCGAACCCGCGACCCTTCCCCGTTCCCCCGAGCCCCCCGGGGCTCCCTCCACCTCACATACCTACACACATTCTGCCGATGATGCGGCAGCCGGCGATGGAGGCGTGGACCACCGGGATGGTCCCGAAGAGCTCCCCTTCGAACACGCTGCAAGGAGAAAGCGCCGCGTCAGGGCCCGGCGGGGCTGCGGGCCGGGCCGGGCCGGGCCGGGCCCCCCTCACCTGTAGAAGTTCTCGGAGCCGCCGATGGCCACAAGGCAATAAGCGTTGGTGAGCTTGGCGAAACAGCCCAGCTCGTTGTTGTTCTCGAAGCTGGCGCGGACCGCCATGGCAGGAAGGGGAATGCGAGCGGGGCTGGGAACGGGAATGGAGCCGGGAACGGGACTAAGAAGTGGACCAAGAACGGGAATGAGAACGGGGCTGGGTCCGGGAAGGAAGCCGGAACGGGGCCGAGAATGGGCCGAGAATGGGAACTGGGGGCGGTCGCGGTCGCGGCCGGGAAGGAGGCTGAAGTGGGAATGGGAAGGGGAACAGGCCGCGATGGCTCCGCGCGCCCCCGCCGGAACCACGAGGCGCCGCCGATTCCGCTTCCGGCGGGGCGCACGCGGGGCAGAGCGGCGCCGGAAGCGCTTGTTGGGGACAGCGCCCCCAAGCGGCCGGGAGGTGAGAGCAGCCAGGGCGCGCCGCCGTGAGGGGGAGCGGGGCGGGACCTGCCCGCGAGCCACTGAGGGACCGAGCGGGACCGGCCCCGGCCCAGGAGGGACCGGCCCGTGGCGGCAGCACCGCCCCAGGCACCGCTCGGCAGCCCGAGCCCTGCCACGGCCCTGTGGGACACAACCCGTCCCCGTGTGCCCGGATCCCACCTGAGGCTGAGCCGGCCCGTGTTTCCTCACAGCCCGGAGAGGCCGCCACGGGTCCAGGTGCGGCATCGCCGTCCTTGTCCCTGGTGTCCATCATTCTCACCTGTACCAGGTGTGCCATGGCTGGCCCTGGCCGTCTGTGTAGCCATGCCCTGGTGCTCCCCGGGTGTTGACACTGTCCCTTGTCCCAACACGAGCCATGCCTGGGCACCAGCTCCATGCCGACACTTGTGGTGTAGGACAGCAGAGGTGCCATCTGTGAGCTGACAGGCCACCCATGACCCAGCTGCCACCTGAGTGCCTCACTCGTGTATAGGGGCCACCAGTGTCCAGGTGTGCCCCCAGAGCAGCCCCCATCCATCTGCTGTCACCACTGGTGTGCCAATGTCAGCCGTGTGCAGATACCAAATGTGTGCCCAGACACGCCCCTGTCCCCTCCTGGCCATGCTTAATGCTCATCCCCCCACCACCAGGACCCAACACACCTTTTCCCAGCAGAACAACTCCTTTATTTTTCACAACCCCCTGCCTTTGGCCATTTCATTTTCATTCACCATATGAATAGGGAGAGGAATTGCTCAGCATGGAGAGAACCAGGGCTCACCCTGAAGACCTCAGTGGCCAGTTTCCAGCTGTACCAATGGCTTTGCTGTAAGTTTAAGGGAAAATGGTTCTTTCCCAAATGGGTAAAAATAATGTGCATTAGATTTATGTGCTTTTCTCCCTCCTGCCATAATCATGTAATTGAAAATTTGAGCTGCAGTTGCTAATCTCGTCTGAATCAGTTATCTACACAGATTAGACACCTTATAACAGGAACAAGACTAATGTTTTGATTCCAAGCCTCAGGCATGATGATTGGCAGGGAAAAGCAACCCCTGGAAAATCAGACCAGAGGCCAGCTCAAGGCCCAGGTCAGAGTTCGAACCGACTGTGTATGTGTTTGGATTTTAGCTTGTTGTACTTGGTGATCAGGTCCAGCTTGCTGTGCCCCAGAGTCATTCTCTTCTCTGCCCCATATGCGCTGTTCTTTTCCAGCAGCACATCCTCCGGGAACTTGTCATAGCAAGGCACTACGGACTTTTTATCCCGTTTGAGGTGGCTGTATGGGGAGAAAAGGTCAAAATGGCCATGTCCAGGGCTCTGTCTCTTTTCCACCCCATAAAACACATTCTCATTTTCAGCTGGCAGCTCCCCAGAGGTGGCCACAGGTGCTCTCTGCTTCAGGCTGGTCCCATTGCTGCTGGTACCCTCTGACAGGGACTGCAGTGGCTGCCCCGCTCTCAGCGGGGAGCAGTGGCTGCTGTTGGCCTTAATATCCCCCTGGTTACCAGGTTTATTGGAGGAAGGCTCCGGTTGCAGGAATGTCCTTGCTGTTATCAGGTTTGATTTGGGATACGAGGCTGAGGAGGGTTTATTTGGAGGACTGTTCACCGAGTCTGGTGGTTCTTCTTGCTGTTTAGGGCAAGTGGGCTTCAGGAATGTGTCTTCCTTCCCCTTCTTATTGCCAGAATCAGAGCTGGAATCTTGCTTTTCCTGGTGTGCACCACAGCTCGAGTTTTTCATAAACGGAGACACTTTTATGCTCCTGATGCTCACATTGGAAAGGCTGCTGGAGGGGCTCAGGGTCTCAGTATCATTCCCCTGAGTGGGTTTTAGAAGACAGTTGTCAACTTTTGAGGTATTCCAAGAAGAGAGACATGTCTCAGGATCTGGCTCACAGAAGCTGGTCACTGCTCTGGACTCTGCATACAAGTACCGGAATTCCTTGTCAAACTCTGCAACAATTTGCCCACGGAAGTGGGTCACCAGGCCGGTGTGGACTTGGCTGCAAAGCCAGGTGAAACTGCAGGAAAAGAAACAAAACACACATAACTTTAGTTCACAGCGTGCCAAAATGCCTAGCACAGATTTTAACATTCCAGAGATGGATTGCTACCTGATTTGTGTTGTTAAAACTTTATCTAAGCAGGCAGGTATGAAGGCTGATGATGTTTGCTATAAGTATTGCTGTGGGATTCCCAAATGCAATGGAAGTTAATTCTTGGCTCAACAAGTTCAGTCCATCACAGTTAACTGTTCTGAGATCTTTTCTGGGAACTTGTCATATTCTACCTTAAAACCAAACTGGTTTTGCCCTAGCTGGAGAAAAACTTCCATTAATTGCCACCCTGCAAATTTTCCTTATCTATTTAACCCTACCTCTTGTTTGTGCCCAAACTGTAACCTAATTAGCTCTTCCCCAATATAGCTACAGATTGTAACCATATTCTCCTAATCCTCCTTTCCCTGATTAAACAGGGACGTTCCACTCCAGAGTGGGATCCCTGGTCATCCCAGTCATCAGCTGATATTTTATTCTTGCTGTAGTCAAACCAGACCAGCAGACTAAATATGTCAAATAAACCAGAATTTTCAGAGGTGGCAGTACCAGCTGAGAGCTGCATTATCAACTGCTAAAGCAACAAGAAAATAAAATGACAGGAGCTCCAGGAGAGCAATTGTCATGGGAGATTACATTCTCAAGTAAATGTCATTTCAGGACAAGAAACAGGCACTGTGTTTTGGGACCTTGTCAATGTTTAGCTCACAAGACAGCTATTTGGGAACTTCTAGTAGGAAACCCATCTCCTGGCTTGTCCTTCAGCACTCTGCAGTTATTATTGGTCAGGCTGGTGTTTGGTAAGTTTTACACTCAGCAGTCACATCCCCAAAGAGAAACATAAAATGAAAAAAATACTCTGCTGCTTCATCTCATGCCAGGCAAATTAGGTAAGAATTGCAAAGTAGTAAAAAAATTAAAAGATCTTATGGTTGGCATGAAGAGTACTCAGAAATACCATCCTGGAGGCTCAAAGCAAATGCATCCCTTCATAGAGATATTAGAGTGAAAAAAATCAAACCAGAAACTACCTGGGATGACTAAATGACAGAGGAGAAGCTTCTAAGCCCAGAGAAACCATCTTTGAAAAAGGTTGGGTCACACATTGCAAAAGGGGAAAGGAGAAATATTCAGCTATATTTGAGGCACATGGTCTGTGTGCAACAGGGGTGTTCAGATAATTCCTCTGCATCCCTTTATTGTACAGGAGCTTGGGCTGCCCTGAGCCCCCTTTATGCAGAAGACAAGGGAGGATCAGTCTCCTATTGAGATCTTGAGACTGAGTAGAAGAGATTAGAAAACATCAACAGAGCAGATATCAGCAACTGGGCAGGGGCAGGGATCATTAGCCCAAGAGCGCCAAGGGAATGCCAGGATGAAATAGCTCAGCTCCTAACCAGGCTGTGTTATCTCTCACTTGAAAGGGCTCTGGCTATCAGAAGAGTGGCAGGGTGCTAATGTGATATGTTTTTAATGTTCCAGACTATTAAGTCTCACAAATTAGAGAGCTATAAATTGTGTAGATACACAAATTAGTAGAGACTCTTCTAAAGAATACAATTAATAGCCATATAGGAAATATGAGATAATAGGAAAGTCATCTTTGGCAAAGGAATGTTATCTCTCAAAAAGCCCTGAGAGTTCTTTGATGAAATCCAGGAGTCCAGACAGGGAAGATTTCATGGATCAACGCTGTCAAAGGTGTCTGTCCCAAGGTACTTCTGGCTCCCAGGAGTGCTGGTGGCCCTGGCCACATTGTCACAGCATTGTCCCCAGTCCCAATGCTCCCAGCCATCTCCTCTCACCCATGTGAAATGCCCTTCCACCTGTGAGGGGAGAGCACTCCCCCAGCCTTATGACTGTCCCTGCCCCCAGTGCCTCTTACCCTAGTCTGGGCATTCCTGTGTCCCAGTTTCCCATGCTGATCCAATGGAGTCCTGTTCACTCTGTGTTGTGGCAGTATCGGGAAGGAATCATCTAAGTACCCTGGTGGCACAGCCCTCCTTGCCACAGCACAGGTTTCCAGCATGGGACAATGTGGTCCTGCCAGTCATGGCTATTCCCACTGCTACAAATTGATAAAGGTATTTTCTTCCCTGAATGGCATAGCCAGGGAATAATTTCTGGTATAAAAATGAGGCACTGGATGAAGTTCAGAAGTTACAAATCCAATACAGACAGGAAGAAGTACTTGCTTGCACAACACAACACCCACATAGGCTTTGGAGTTTCTCCTGCTGCAGGCCACCCTGGATGCTAAAAGATCATAGGAGCTTCTAAGAGGATTGTCCTGACGTTATTTTTTCCCTATAACAAACTGCTGCTCACAGCAGTTCTAGATCACCCTGGGACACAAAGGATTCTAGGAGAGGATGGTTGTAGGACAGGATGCCCTCCCAGACTGTCCGGGAGCGGTGCAGCTCAGCCCTCGGCCGGGAGATGGAGGTGCAGGATCACCTCCCGGCCACTCCTCGCAGCCCCCCCTGTCCCGGGGCTCTGCCGTGGGCCGGGCAGCAGCGGGAAGAGCACCTGCGATGTTCCACAGGTCTCCGTCTCAGCAGCATTTCCGACGCCCGGATTAGATCCCTGCGTGCCCCGCTGTACAGCCGTGCTCTGCTTTGGGGTCACGGTGGCCTTTGCCTTTCCTCAGCTGTTTATACAGCTGACTCTGGATCTCCGTAGTTGGCCTCCCTGCTTCACCTCCTTCCACCAGACGACATACCAATTTACAGCAGAAGGTTTCTTGCTTCTTTCAGTAGTTTCTCAAACTCATTTTTATTGCTCTTCTGTCATTTGGGCTGTTACAAAGCCATTCTTTTCTTTCCATATGCCAACACAAACGTCTGTGTTTTGTTTTTGCTCATGGCTAAATGCATGTACACCATAACATTCATTACTAGACCTTTCATTTCAAGTGGCATTTTCTCTGATAAGGTAACAACAACCTGCCTTTATTGCAGCAAGCTCTTTTAGCTTGCTCCCAACACACTTGAAACCATTTCCATTCCTTGATTTTCATCTTTGTTTTGATCCAAACCAGTGCAATATATTCAATTAATTTGGGAACCCATGTCTGCTGTCTCTTATTTCTTATTCATCCTTCCAGCAGCAGACCTTGTAGCTTTCTCCTGGATTCACTTTTTATTTACACACCTGAGGACTTGCTCCTCCCTGCTTCGGTGTGCCCAGCAAGGCTGTACATAACTCATCTCCTGGCAATGTCACTGCCTTGCCACTTGTGTCACCTGGGGTTTCCTTGCTGATGCACTTTGCTTCCCACTCCTTAGCACTCACTTCCTGCTTTATTAGAATTTCTTTCTTGAGGTGACTCCTCATCAAGCTAGATCTGGAAATCCCTCTTCAAAGCTCTTTCCTCTTGCTTGGGCCATGGAAACCTGTGAGTATAAGCACCTTTCTTTGAAATTCCAGGCTTCCTCCAGCTTCAAACCCATGTAGCTTTATCTGTCCATTGCCAAACACTTGTGTACTTCAGTTTTATTTCTCCTGAAGCCATATGTGGAAGCTTTTGCACTCTTGTAAACTTTCGCCTCTCATTTTTCAGTTTCAGCTGCTGTGTCAGCTTCAACCCCAGATCCTGAATTTCTGCCTATAGCAAACACTGGGCTCCTTCCTCTCTGTGCCCATGGCAGGACAGACAATGATACCATCTGTCATTTTCAGCAGAGAAATTTGATCTCCTCTAAGGCAACTCAAACAGGCACGTAACTCCCTTTCAGGCTGACAATAACAGCTCTTTTCTCTGGTTCTAGTCTATCCTTCCTGTTCAAAATCCTGTTTAGCTCTATCCCCATTGGCCCTTGGGTTCCTCTCCCCTGCTGAAAGAGTAAATATCTTAAGTGCTCAAATAAACACCCAATTTCTCCTGGTGCCCAGAATAAATCTAAATAGCTAGATTTACAGTTACATTTAAGATTTCAGATGATTGCTTTGCCTAGATACCTCAATCTAGATTTTTTTCCTTGATTTAGAAGAAATATAATGTTAAACATTTAATCAGTGTACACGTAGGAGTTGAAGGGTCTAAACTAATTTACCTACATTTGTTTAAGATGAGTGAGCTTGGTTTCCATATTTAGAAAATGATGCAAAAATGTTCTTGATCTGTACCAATAAGCACCAATATATCAGAATAAATTAAAGAATCATATAATCAAAGAACATCCTGAGCAGGAAGGGACCCACAAGGATCATCCAGTCCAACCCCTGGCCCTGCCCAGACCCCCCAACAACCCCACCCTGGGCATCCCTGGCAGCGCTGTCCAAACGCTCCTGGAGCTCTGGCAGCCTCGGGGCCGTGCCCATTCCCTGGGGAGCCTGGGCAGTGCCAGCACCTCTGGGGAATAACCTTCCCCTGACATCCAGCCTGATCCTGCCCTGGAACAGCTCCATGCTGTTCTTATTGTATGAATGAATAAAACTTGTGGAAGCAGAAGGGTAGTTAAACTATTTCTGCATATTTGGATCCTTTCCTTCATTGCTCATCTCCTCGTTGCAGAGCTGCCAGACTGGAGTTACTCAGTGGACAGCAGGAAGCAGTGGATTGCTACAGAGCAAAGCTGGGATGTGTACAAAGTCACACAGGGATCACCCACTTCATTTTAAAAATAAATGCAATAATAATAAACTGTATTCTGATAAAAGGACAGGATGGAAATCAGTGACACTTGGGTAAGGAATTAGAATCAATGGAGAACATCTGAACAAATAAAGCTGTGTTTAGAAAAGTGCACGGTGGCTGTACTGAGAACTTTCCAAGCAGAGTGCTGATGGTAAATAAGCCACGTTGAGGGAGTCCTGAGAGACTGAGAAGGCAGAAAGCAGAGGGATAAAGGGAGATCCTGCCGGGTTGAATGGGGGCCACTATGAGGAGAATTGCCAAAACTGCATTTTAGACACTATAAATGACCACTTATTGGAAAAACTAACCAGAAAGCCAGCAAAAGGAGGAATAACATTACCAGTTCAGAGAGTTTCTTTGGGAAGGCCACTCAGCAAAAAACAAACCATGACCTAGCCATATCAAATATTCTTTCAGGACCAAAATAATCCACAACAGTAATGCTTAACTTCAAAGAGAAAGTGAGGAATGCTATTAAGAAGAAACTTAAAAGAGTAATCAAAAAGGGTAAATGCTTGAGGTGGCAAGAAGATTGTTTAAAGATGCTATGTTAGAGTCTCAGAGAAAATGTACCTTTCAAAATAAAGACATTTTAAATCATCAAAAAATCTCACCATAGTTAAAAGGTTCATTAAATGAAAATATTAGCAAAGAAATATTAAAGCAAAAAAATGGAAGTCAGCAATTTTCCAATAAGAACCATGGAACAACCTATCATTTTAATATTGAACAAAGTAGCAGAGGAATGGAAAGTTTAAAATGTGAACCTTTTAACGAGCTCCTGGAAAAATACAAACCAGCCAGTCTTATTTCCATACTGAACAAACTGGTAGAAGCAAATAGAGAGTAAAATGATTAGATGCATAAATAACTATAATCATAATGCTGAAGACTCAGCATGTTTTTGTGGAAGGAAGCCATGCCTCAAAAGCCTCTTGCTGATCTTTGAGGGAGGCAGCGAGCACACAGATGTGCTTGATGCATCAAACTTGAACTTTGAAAGAGATTTTGAAAAGACAATTTTTGTTGTTAGAAAAATTAAGTGATCACGGAGTACATACAAAGGAAAATCTTCTCAAGAAGTGAGCAGTTGATTAAAGATACAAACACTAGCAATAGGTTTAATTTACCCACTGAAAACAAACAAGTTTTGTGCTGGGATCGATGCTGTTCAACATGTTGGGGAAAGTACTAAAAAACTGTAGAAAGTGTCATGACAAAATTATTGTGGATAAAAAGAAAACTGTATAAACAGAAAGCACAAGAGGATCCTATGGTAAGGGGGGAATATGTGACAAAATGATGGACAATTAAATGTCAAAAAATTCAAACTCTGGGCAGAAGAAATTACTGAAAAGCCAAGGATAATTTACCTGGAAAAGAGATGGTGGGATTATAATGGAGGAAGATAAAATCATGGATGCAATCAAGAAAGTAAATAGGAAACACTTTTCTGTGCCCAGGTTATGAGAATTTGGGGACATCAAATATAATTATCTAGCAGTAGGTCTACTGTAAACACCACAGATCACTTCTTCACACAAAACATAAATTAAACTGCATAACCCATTGCCCAAGGGTATCATGGAGGCCAGTCATGGTGGGAAAGTCTCTTATAGCAAACTGAACACAGAGGAGCACGTACAACATAAAACCCCAGAGTTCTGAAACCTCTGATCCTTGCACACAGCATTGCTGAACTGCAAAACCTTCTGCTCAGTAAGAATACTCTTACCCTTGTTCCTGTATCATCCTGAGACACCCCTGGTTCCACCCTGGATCTTTGGCTTTACTCAGTAACTTTTCTCATCCTTTGCATCTGGCTTTGCCATCCTCAGGGACAGTAATCTAAATATCTCCTGTACAGGTTGCACTATACCCAGACGGGATATAGAGCAGACATCCCGATTTTCTGCTGTGAAAGTGTTTCTGACAAGTGTTGAACAAATTCCTCTACAAGAGACTATTTCTGTTAGTCCAGAACATCCTGTGCTTACTGGCACAGCACAGAATCAAAACCCTATTCTACTGAAATACTGTCTTCCAGAATTCCAGAAGTTTCATCTCTGCAGAGATCTGTAGAAAGGGTGCACATGACAATCCTCAGTCCCTGCCCTGAACAGCACCAGGAGGAACCAACCTAGAGAGCTGCACCTGCATTTTAAGCAATACCCTGACTCTGGACACAGGGAAATCAGATGTTTCTCTAGCTTGTTCAATCCAGCTGACACATGCTCAGCTTTAGCCATTCAAAAATGAGTGATCCAGTTATGTAATCCCCACCCCTGCAGTCAGTGGAGATGGATAAAAGGATTTAAAAGATGACTAGATGTGACATGGGTTCATTATGGGCTCAGCAGTGCTGAGGGAACGGTTGGACTCAAGGCTCTTAGAGGACTTTCCACCTAACCAATTCTATGATTCTAACATCCTGTGTTTCCAGGCAGTGATTCACTCCATTGTTTTTAAGTGTCTTAGGATGGTCAAAATGCCACCAGACACTGCTCTCCATGTTGTTTAGAGATTTGACACAGTTTCAACCATGTACTTCCATTCATTTTGCCAGAGTTTGATGAAGTGAGACCTCCACTCTTGGAGATGATGAAATCAACACCAGAGGAGAAGTTTCAGCTTGAAGCTACAGCACTGATGAGGACACTGCTAGCCTGAGGGTCCAGCATGTGCTCAGAGAGAGATGGAAACTGAGAGAAAGGGAGAGGCAGAGCAGTGTTCAAGGAGAACTGGTGGAAAGAGAATAAAAGTATTGCCAGGACAACAGATTCACAGAGCAGGCTGTCCTGAGGAGCTGGACTGTTTGTGAAGGATAATATGATGTTCAACAGCGTGAAAATACTGTGGGAAAGATCTTCAGGTGGAAAAGTAACTAAATAGAGTCTAGTAATAAAAATATAGCACAAGAACAGTAGTCCTGACCCTTTGATCAGAACTGTGGAGAACAATGTTAACTGAGATCACAGAGGCTGCAAAATTAGGATGGGCAAGAAGAGTGGGAGATTTCATCCATTCAATACACATACAGGTTAGTGCTTCACTGGGATGAAGCATGGAGAAAAATTTTTTTGAAGCAATAAATGATTACATGCCAGAATTAACTAGTCTAAATTGTTTGACCCACAAGAAAATATGTGATTCAGGATGTGGTCTGGAATGGGACATAAGACTTGGTTCCACAGGCAGAAGTGGAAGAACCTGTTTGTAAGAATGATCACAACACAATTTTAACTCTTTAGTGGAGAGCAAACGAAATAAATGCAGAATGTGGAGGTTCAATTTCAAGAAAGGTAACTATGTAAAAATGCAGCAATCGGTCAAAAAGAGTTGAAAGGGAGGAGACCAAAAATCCCCGTGATGACTGGGGCTGTAGGTTGTTCACAAATGCTGTACTGGCAGTCAAGGAATCAGTGGGCTCATTTGAGGCTGGGTTGTCAAAAGGGTGATGGCAAGGCCACAGCTGAGAACCTCAATTGTATTCCTGCATCCATCACTGGTGCTGGTGACACTGAGATGTGTTTCATTCCTGTGTATCAGCATCACCAGAAAGGCCAAGGGCTGACAAGTTTCCCAAATGATATCACCTACAGAGAGGGCTCTGAATGCAGTCTTGAGGCCCACACACCCCTGGAGCTGCTCTCTACCCTGGGGCATGCAGAGTATGCTGTGAAGAACAAGATTCCTGCTGGCATGGAGAAGCACAGACTCTTGGAAAAGGACAACAGGGCAAAGGCAAAGGCAGGCCCAGCTCACCAACCTGCTCAAGTTTGTGAGGGAGCCAATGAGCACATGCATGCCCTCAGGCATGGAGGGGTGCAGTGAAACCCCCAGGTTTGCAGGTGATCCCCAGGCCCTTCAGGTGGTTGGATACCTCACTGAAGATGAGCAAATCCAGAAGGACCTCACAGAACTGATCAAGTGGACAAATATGTGGCAGATGAACTTCATTAAAGGAAAATGTGGTATATCCATGGGGGAAAATTATCTGTATAATGTTGAACCTGGAACAGCTCAGGAAAGAGCTTGGAATCATCATCAGCAGTTGTCTGACAGCTCAGAGTGCAATGGCAACTAAAACATTCAGTGAGTGTTGGCCCCTGCCAGCAAGGGCCACAATGACAAACCAGAGTCTGGGCACCTTTTACCCCACTTGAACACCTCAGTGGTTGGGGGGGCACGTGCAGTTCTGGTCTCTGGACTTCAAGAAGGAGAAAGTGAGGTCACAGATGGTGCAGAAAAACAGAATTAAAAAGGCTGAGGCATGCAGCAGCCACCATATGAAGAGAAACTTCTGAAAAATCTGAGGTCTCCAGGTAAGAAAAGGGCAGGGAAGGTGGATAAGATGGAGGCTTGGAAAACGGTGAAAGCACTGACTGAGGTGAATGCAGCAACATGCACCAGGAGGTAGATTAATCAGTATTTTGGTGAGGAATATTTCCTCAGTGTCACCAGTCTCTGCCACAGTAGCCGCTGTATTTTCTTACCTGTATGTACCAGCAAGAACTTGGTCACAATCAACCAGGACAAACTTCTCCAGAACCTGGCCTGCAAATTTCTTGCCTGCTTTGCTGTAGTATGTGTCTCCACTCAGGCATCTTATGCGCATGTTCTGAAACCAAAGCAGAGAAATTGGTAAGGGGCCATGTACTGAACTAAACTGAGATGTTCCCTTGTGCATCATGCTGGACTCCCTCAGGCTCATGCTCTGCTCCGAGAGGTAGAACTCAGCAAGGCATTAAGTATTTCTTGGCTCCTACATACCAAATATTTTGTCATACTGCCTGCTTCTACAGGATAAAAAAACAGCAAAAAGGAACAAGTTGCACTCAAGTGAAAATTCTAGTTTAAAAAAAAAACTTGGGAGAATCCTAAGAGCCTACAAATAATTTCTGTCATATTTAAAACTATCCAATTTCTTCCAAATTATTAATAATATTCAACGCCCCACACTAGCTGGTGGGTCTGCATTGAACTAAATTTTGATGCATACAGCTAGCTATCTAATCAATAGAGTGTGCTGCTCTGATTTTATACAGTGACAGAATTAAAAGTAAAACATCACTCAATGAAAAAAGACTTGCAGAGGGGAATATCTACATTTTAAGGAATTCCTTTTATTAATACATTTTAAAATGATATTAACATTAACTGAAGCAGATCTGATGCTCCCCTGCAAATACTTCTCTGATACAACCTTGGTCTGTAAAACCAACTACCCAGAATAAACTGGGGAATATGGCTCTTGGTATCCATTGGGAGCCTCTTTCATTATGTGAGGCATTTGCCCATAACAGAAGTTATTTGCACCTCAGGTGAGGAAGGCAGAAGAGCAGAACAGTCACTGGAAACTGTTAGTGACCTGCTCTGTGTGATACAGTGCCAAACAAAACATCTGGTGTGTAAATAAACATCCCTAAGGCGACACCTACGCGGGGCTGCCAGGTCATCCCTTCCTGCCCTCCAGGCCAGCTCCCCTGACACCTGTAGCACCTCTGGTCCAGCAGGAGCTGTCACAAGCTGTCACCACCTGCATTTGACTGGGCAGATCCCTCTGTGGGCAGCTCATTCCTGCCGAGCATCAGCCCAGGTACAGACAAAGCCCTACAGCAGCTGGTTTGGCGTCGGGGCCGATTTGCTCCTGGCAGAGGTGGGTGCTCAGGGAATGTGGCAGTGCCCCTCTGCCACCCAGCACATTTCTGGCCAGGCACAGGCAAGAGACAAGCGCCAGCAGCTGGGATTTCCCTGCAGATGTTTCCCGCAGGGCGCAGTCCCACTCCCCTTCCAGCCTTCCAGAGATGCCCATGGGCACCCCTGTGCCCCCTTCACCTGCCTCCTACGGGGCTGAGAGCAGTCACCCCTCAGGGTGAGGAGCAAGGCAGGGACCCTACGGCAGCGACTCCTCTGCGGGTGGCTTCCCTCTGCTGTCAGAGTCCCTGCAGGCAGGAGCTGAGCTTCCCTCTGGGAACACCTGCCAGGTGGGAAAGGCTCAGGTCTCACATTGTAGTGAGGGTCTCCAGCCCACCCAGGAGCACCCAGGAGCCCCTCCAGGGCTGCACAGCAGCAGCAAATCTGCTCCTGACCAGAGCCCATCCAGGCTCTCTTGCAGCTAGAAGAGGGCAATCATTTCTGATGCTGCTTCTAATACTGCTGCAGACCCTGTTTTCTGCTCAGGGGATTTCTTGAGCTTCTTCTAGTGATTTGTCTTAGTGGGAAACCCACCATGATCTCTTCATCAAGTACTGGTCCAGTCATCTCTTGAGTTCATGGAAACTCCTAGCAAGGACAGAGCTGAAGCTTCAGAATTTTGGCACTACAGCTCTCACTTGCTGGCTTTTTATGTCCCAGAACATATCCTCATCTATTCATCTATTCATCTATTCTGTGGGGAAACCTTTTCCCCATAATGACAGTTGTGCATTGGAACATGTTACCCAGAGAGACTGTGCAGTCTCCATGATTGGAGATCTGCCAGATGAGACCAGGTAAGGTGACCTCACAGGTGACACTGTTTTGAGTGGGAGGTTGGGCTTGATGGCATCCTAAGATCCCCTGCATTAACCTGTGATCCTCTGAAATGACACCACAAGTTGCTGATTCAGACCAAGATAACTCTGGATACTTGGGTAGGTGTTCACCTTGTCCTGTGGCCAGCAGCACTTAGATTTTTTCTTCCATTGCTGAAGTTTTAGTAGTACTGGTTCTGACTGGGAGAAGCTTCCTTCCCCCCACTCCTTCCTAGGGAAATTAAAACAACTGCAGGAAAGGGATATTCCATAAATTTGTAACCACACTTGTTCTTCACTTCCTTTATCCTTTCCAAGGCTGGGTGAGTTTCTGATATCTGGTTCATTTTTATCATCCTCCTCTTCTTCTTGTCAATCCAGACCCTGAATCATCCCAACAAAGTGAGAATTCTGCAGTCTTGCAGGAAAGACACCTAGGAACTACTCTTGCTCCATCCAGACAGTAGTTCCACGTTCAGCAGATGGATGATTGAAAACTCCAAGTTCAGGCTTCTGCTGCCATTACTGCCAATGCTCCACACAGGATTTTCTGATGCTCAGCACTGGAATTTGCCACCAGCAGACTCACATGTTGTTTTCAGAAGTAAGATGCTGGAGGGGCAATTACCCCAAATTCCCCATTCAACCCCAAATTGTCACCAATTATTCCAAATGGAGATTTACCACCACATCCTGTCACAACTTAGAGGCAGGAATAAAATATGTACCCTCATTCCACTCAGATGTGTGTTCAGCCTGTAGGTCATGGACTGCTTAGGTGCATCAGTGTAAGACACACTTCAGATGGAGTGCTGCTAATGAGTCATGGAATGGGGAGGCAAGTGTTAATTACCCATTCCAGCACATGTCATGACATCAGGCCTAACAAAGAGACATCTTCATGGATATAAACTCATTCTAAATTTAATTTTTAAAATGGCCACCGCTTGGATAAGAAGCAATAAAATATATTTTGAAGAGATGGAATTAATTTGAATGCACCAGGTCATTTCAGTGTGGAAACTATGGAAGCAAACATGGAGCAGCTTTCCCCAAGAGCTGCCATCTTAAAAGTCAGGATGAAATGGGTCTGGCTTGTAAGAAGCAAGACAGGACAGACCTTCACCTGCACAGTGGAAGAATCACAGAACCATTTAGGTTCAAAAAGATATTCAAGGTCATCAAGTCCAACCTTGTCAACTGGACCAGAGCACTGAGTCCCTCCCTAAAGAAGCCTCTCTAAATTAACCTTTGTGTAGACAGGCTAAAAATTAGGGAAAATGAAGACATCTTAATTGCATCTATTTGGAATATTCTGTAAAACATAGTTTTTGCATTGTCCCTAGCTTGTTTTTAAGCTAGGAATACTTTCGAGCTAACTGGAAAATTTCCAAATGTTCCCTACAAAAATGAAGGGAAAATCCATGAAACTGGTGGCTGGAGTGGAGTCAGTGCTCCAGGGAATCCTGTACACCCAGGGAAGGAACACAGCCATCACTGCTGGCCTTACAGGAATAACAAATGACAACAAAAAACCCAACTTCCATTGGTAGGGAGTAGCTAGAAATGGGGATCAGCAAGATACTGGGCTGCAAGTTCCTAAGAGAGCTTGTGGCACTGGCACTATCATTTTTATTGTTCATCTGCTCTGGGCACCAGTTGGGTGATGGGCACCCACTGAGCAGGAATTGGCTTTTTCACAAATCCCTCATGGATCCACAACTGAATTGCAAAGCCTAAAAGCACATCTTAAATCTCATGTGAGATTTTTAACCCGTGGGTTAGCAGAAGGAAGTGATGGGGTTTGCAGCAGGACATCTGAGGGGACTCTCTGCTCCCCTTGCCCTCCCAACTATTGCCCTGCAGCAGCTCTGAGCAGAATTTAAATCCACAAGCTGAGGGATATGAATTATGAGCAATTTAAGTCTTGCAATTCTATGTCCTAGAGCAGGGGCTGTGTCCTCTTCCCCCATGTCCGGATCATAGGGGTTCACATAAATGAAATTTCCTGGCCTCACTCTGCATCTCTGCACTGGCCCAGAAAAGCGTTCAGCAACTCACTGCACCTCATATGCCCCAACTTCACACTCCCTGCATGAAAAACTGAAATGAGGACCATAAAACATCAATCTGTGGGACTAGGATGCTTCCTCTGTGCACACTTCCTCTGTGCATCCAGACAGATCTCAATTTCCTAGAACAAACAGCCTTGGTTTCTTAGCCTGGGACAGGGAGAGAAGGGATAAATTCTGGGGAGAAGGGATGAGTCCTAGGGACCAGGCGGAGGGAACAGAACATAGGGTACATCATTTTTATCAATTCCAAGACCTGTTTATCGTATCCAGTGTGTGACTGAAAACTTACTGGGAAGCTGTCCTGAGTAAGAGCCATTTTATTGCACATTTCCACAAAATGCTTCAAGTACTCTTCATCCAGGATCAGGTAAACAGGGATGTGCCTTCTGCTTGAGGCCTCCAGCAGGTCACACAGAATTTCCATGTCTGTAAACAGATCCATCACAATTGCTATCACCTGGCCAGAAAAAGAAAGTGGGGGTGGGAGAAAAGAAACACAAGAGACTGTTGAAATTTCATGGCCAAGTGAATTGTGATTTAAACTATGTGCTTTAAACTATTCAAACCTCCTGAGCTACTGAGACCCTGTGGCCACCGGAATGGAGATGAGTCTGGACCTTTGTGTTTAACAGCCCTTACCCCACTGTGGCAGCTAAAATCAAATTTTAATGACTGTGAAGACAATCCCCACCTCCCTCCTGTCTCATCTGCTGTTCACAGAAAGGAAGGGTAACACATGCACAAACTCTGAATTTCAGTGGTGCAACAAGCATGTGTTGCCTTAAGAAAATATGCCAAGAATAAAGCATATAAACAAGAGCTGCGACTGAGCAAAATCATTGTTCAGTCAGCAAGAGTGACTCTATATGACTAGCAGATTTATATGAAAAAGTATGATTTTTTTTTCAGGATGGACACACTGCCAGGTGAGGGAGAAGGGATCGTGATAAAGTATATGCAAATCCTCATTCCAAGATTAGATCCTAGGCATGCCTAGACAAAATCAGAGAATAATGTGTGTGGAAAGGATCCCTTCCCTTTCCCTGCTGGCAGAACTCCTGTCCATGCAGCCAGGGATGCAAGCAATAGGTATGAAACCTGACAGGAGGAGGAAGGAATAATGCTAAGATTATTAAAGTAAAATAAAATTTAAAATAGTAGAAAATAAATAAATAAATAAATAAAAGTAAAAATAAAAATATACATATCTCAATAAAGCAAAAGTAAGGTCTCTAAGGAGGGGGTTTTAAATAGGGAAAGACTTTTAAAGAGAACTGCCAGTTCTTTAAAGAATGAGGTTGAAAAAGGCCATGGCAATCCATCGCGCTGTGGAGATGGAGTGGGAGGCAGCAGACTGTCATGGCTACACAAATTCTCCAAAAACAGGAATGAAAATACAGAAAACAGAAGGTAAGTCATGAGAAGCAGCTACAAGCGAGTTGACCCAGGACCAGACAATTCAAAGTACAGAATGATCTGCAGCAAGAACAATGCATCAAGAGAAATCAGTCCTAAATAGATTCAGTTGGGATTGGAGGCCCTGTTGCTCTCTTCCTCATGGAGTGAAGTTGCCAGTGGACAACACTGAGGGGGCCATTATTTGGATGAGGAAATGACTGTTGGGATCCATCTCTTGGCTGTCACTGTCAGGGACACCTTGGAGAAGGAAGGAACAGGCAGGAGAGCACTTGCTGAGCAGGATGATTTGTCACTGCACCTGAGGGTGCAGAGCACCTGGTGACTCAGACCTTGAACCATCAGCAGTTAATACTGAGAGCTCATAGGAGATGGGAACACACTGAGGGATGGAAAAGGGTAAGGGAGGATTTACCATCAGGCAAACTTCTTTTCAAAAGCTGAAAAAAATAATGGAACTACTGCCCAAGTACTTTAGTCCTGATCTTTACTATATCATAGTGAAAAAGGTAACTGGTATTTGTAGATTTGGTTTATAATCCTGACTTATGTTTCTGCACCTACCAGAGAATGCGCAAATAAAGATGACTCAAAACCCACTAAATCTGGAAGTGAAGTTCCAGTAGCCTATTCTGCATCTCAGTGTTCTGTACCACATCTGGCACACGAAATGCTTGACAGTCAGTCCTGCTGCCATCATGCCCCCATGAGGAAAGATCCTGTTTTCCAACACCTTCACTGCCTGTGTTATGTGCATGGCCACAAATGCAACTCTCCACAGTCCAAATCACCCTGTGGATTTCAGCCCTGCAGGGTGAGCCTTCCTTTGCCACTGCTGCTCACCTGCTCCTCTTCAAACCAAGAGCTAAATGCAGAGAATGGCAGTAAGATCAGCCTTTACATGTGCAGTGATTCAAGTTTCAAATAGGAACAGGGAAAACTGCAATCAAGACATAGGGCTGATCTGGAATAGCTTCAGAAAAGAAGTAAGGAGCTCCAAGTTTAATTGTCCTTGGATTTGTGCTCTAGACTGCCACACTGGCCCAGATTGCTCACTGCCCAGTAGCTCTTCTGCTCTGTTTTCATTAATGAACTGCCTCTTTCCAGGCTCACACTCATGGCCTCAGTGCTGCCACATGCAGAGCAAGGCCCCTGGGCTTCCCTGTGCTCTCCAGCCCAGTCTTCTGCTTGGGAAGCTGGTTCATCTCAGCCAGTACATGTTTGTACAGAGCCACAGTGGAGTGGAAGGAACAGTGTCAGAAGGCTGATTCCTGCTCCCTTAGGGATTGAACCCTTTTGCAGATGAACAAGATTTCATGGCTCTTTTTTGTCCCCAAAACCCATCTCTGTGATGATGCCCAACACACGGTCATTGGTCTTCAATATCTTGCAGGAGGCCCCAGGCCCAGCTCACCGCAGCGGGGTTTGGGGGAGAACCTTCCCAGAGGATGTGCAATCCCAGACATCCACATGGGACACAAGGCAGCTGTCAAGAGCTAAAAATCATTCCTGCTGTCCAGACCAAAACCACGTCTCCACCCTCTCACCCTGGTCCCAGGAGATACAGGCTGCAGAACCTGACTCCAAAAGGCGCCTCTTTTGTAGCCCTTGTCAGTGCTATCTTCCCAGAAGCTTTACAAGGGTTTGGCAAACTTCTCCCCTCTTGAAATGTGCCCATCTCTCCTGGAGAGCAGTCAGCTCTGGAGGAGCTCTGCAAGCACTGAGAAGCATCTTCAACTTCCCAAATTAACATTGCTGCTGGTCTATCAGCACAAGGGACCACTGACACCCACAGTATAAAAGGACTTTGCCACATCTCTCCACACTGTCCTCAGCCAAAGGCCAACTGCAATTTAGCCAAATTACTTTGATGGGTCATGCATCCTCTGATGATGAAGCACCATGAAAAAACTATAGCCCAGACCTTGTGGACAGCTTCAGGCAAGTCCCTCTCAGCCAGGCTTTGCCTCGTGATATTTGAGCTCATCTCAAGCTTAGGTTTGAGGCAGGTTTGTCCTGGAGACAAGCTAAACTCTGCTTAGGAAGTCAGTGTGATGGAGTCAAGGAAAACCAAAGCTGCTTTGTCCCCAGATCCCTCAAGTTCAGGGGCACTGCCTGTACCCAGGGTGCACAGGAAATCCGCACCACCTTGCTTCCCTCTACCAGTGCTTGCAGGCTTTGGCAGGGCTGGTTGCCACAAGTCAGACTGATCCTTGCCCAAACCCGGCACTGCCAGGGCCTCAGTGCTCACTGTGAGAGGGATGGGGCTGAGCAGGGGGCAGCACATGGCACAGAGCAGCCCGTGGCAGGCGATGCCCAGGCTGGCTGCAGGTGGCCAGGCTGCGGTGTCAGCGAGAGCCCAGGCAGCGAGGCCAGCTTGTGCAAGCTGGGGTGGAGCCCTGATAGTCACACTCAGACTTTCCAAAGCGGGTCTCGGCTCGGTCGGGAGGTGGAGCTGGGCTTGGCTGGGAGGCTGCAGCTGTGTTGAGTGTGCCGGTGTGCAGCACAGCCCATGCTGGGCAGGAAGGACACAGCCACAGTGTGCTGCACTGGGGACAGAGGGGAGGCTGTGCCCTCCCTGCAGGGGGGGACACAGGTACCCATGTGGGGCTGCTCATTCTAACTGTGTTTATCCATAAGAGCACTGAGATCAGCACATCCCTTTGGAAATCAAAGCAGGCAGCTTTACAATAGCATCACATCAACCCCAAAGCCGAGAAATCTGGGGGAAAGAAGACCCTGGAAGTTTTTTCCCCCCAAACCTCCTAAAGCAATGGGAGTTGAGTATCCGAGTACCATTTGCAATTGAGGCTCCTGACAGCTCATGTCACAAGGCTTTGGGCATTCAAGTCAATCAAACCTAAACAATTACAAAGCTAAACCTGTGTCAGTGCCTCCAGCCCCTCCGTTCCAGCGCTGGGGCTTGCAAGGCTGGGGCTGCCTTGGGCCATCCCTGCTCCTCACCTCTGAGCCCATGGCTTGGCCTTGGCAAGAGACTTGGCTACAGAGACACAGCTGCCCCACAGGCTTTAAAAAAGTTCACACCTTGCCATTGTAGGGTTAAATCATGACATTTTCAAACCCACTTCTGGAAACTCACAATTCAGCAATTACTGGAGTCATCACTTTAGGAATTACAGCACTTAGCAGAACCCCACTGGGGTTTGCCATCTGTCTGGTTTCTAACAAGCACAGCTGGTTTTACTGGTATTTGCCAATAGCAGTGTGGTTTGGGTTATTACTACAGTGGTGCCATTTGATCTCTTGCTCCCCTGGGGAGCGTCAGGGACCCTTCTGCCACCAGGCACAGACAGGAGTGCACAGCCAGAGTCTAAGGGGCACAAGAGAGGTGAAAGAAGCAGCATGGACAGTTCAAACCAGATTGGAGCTCATCCAGCAAGAGCAAAATTGTAATAGTATTATCAAATGAAGGCAAAGGTGTGGCTGCATCTTCTTATGTCTGCAAAGAGAAAAGCTCAAATCTGAACATCCATCTTCAAAGAGAGTTGATTAAATACAGTGAAGGTGAAAGACCAACTGCACCAGCAAAAGATACCCATGAAACAAATGCTCCTTTTACTAATTTGTCAGTACAAATATGCTGTTGCAAGAGATGTCAGCTGATGTTGTTCTGCCGGGGAAAAAGCAAACAGCATTTCAAGACACACTCCCAGTCTACACTTGGGGATCTCAACATCTTTCCAACCAGCACTGTATATCCCAGGGGAGGAGAAACACTCTACAAGAGGGATCCACAACAAAAGCTGAAAGTCTAGTGGCAAAAATGTTGGAAATGTAGAAACAGCAGCTGCAAAGCAAAAAAACAAGTGGTTCTCCAAATGGTTCATACTGGCACTTCAAGCAAAGGAAGTTTTTTACCTCTGTTTGCTCTTTTGTCATTACGACACATAAGTAACATCATTTTGGATGGTTTGTTGAGCAAAATGACTCACTAAGTACTTAAATATGTGTAACTGGGGTTGTGAATGAGCTGGAATTGCCATCAATCATAGAGTTAATCATGGGAAGCACTGGCCAGAGCTGCTAACCCAGAAGTCAGTAGAACACCAGTAATAAATCAGTAAGATACTTAAAAACTCATTCTCACATTTCACACAGCAGTAAAAAAAACTGTGTGAAACCCTGAACTCAAACATGAAGGGCAGAAGATTGTCAGGGCTTTGTCAACCCAAGCAAAGAAAGCAAAAACCTCAGACTGTACTGAAAGTACAATAAAGCATCCACTGCCTGGGCAACTTGCCTGCAGCAACTGAGAGGTTCCTGTGAACTGAGAAAGCAGCAAGATGTTTTTCCTTTGGCTTAAAGGATCGTAATATCACTGAAGATCCGGGACACGTGCTGAGTAACAGGAAGACACTTCTTGGTAGTCATTCACTGTGTGCATTCTGCCATGACTGTGCCTTAATCCCCATTGCTGACAAGGATGGGGTCAATATCACAGAACTTTTCAGATCATTTAAACTGTCATAAATCAGCTGCCTACAAGGACAAACAAAGCTTTTTGTCGCTTATTTCCTGGACTGAAACTTCCTGTAATTACCTATAAGATGCAATAGAAGTCCAGGCATTAAGCAAGGGCTGCTTACAACTGAGCAGCAGCTCATGGGCAAAAGAAAAAAGATCCCCATTCACTTCATATCACACCCAAACTTCACTGATATGTGTCTCTTTGAGGATGTTTTAATGCTGCACAGCAATCTGAGCTGCTGGGAATACATAAATGCATTTGCTCAGCTCTGCTGATAGTTAAAGAACATCACACTTGAGCTGCAGTGATCCAGGTGATTCCTTATCTCCGGCTTTTGCACAAGCAACAATGAATATAAGGAGTGACTGTGAAGTTAAATAGGAAACTACTGGAGTGATAAGAGAAACTGCCAGAAGCTGACTGGTTAAAGTGAACTTTGCTCTAAATGTTTCCTCAGTATCTCAACACAAATACTACAAGAGAAGATTGATGTGAAACAGCTGAACAGAACCATAAATAGGACAAAGACAAAAGCTGAAAATGTGTCTGAGATAGTTGTCTGAGCTGCTGCTTTCACACAGAGTACAGTGGCAAGGCAAAAGAAACAACAAGAATCATAATTGGGTGAATAAATTCATGCCAGCATTGTGCTTGCTAGGCAGGCACTGTAGTCATCCAGTTTTTATTACATCTGAGGGTTGTAATAACACACCAGAAACTGTGCAATGGGGCAAAATGGGCTGATCTTACTCATCCTCAGAGAGGCAGACATCAAGCCTAGGAGACAGGATTCTAACTTAATTCAAACCACAGGCAGGGATTTTTCAGTCCCACAAATTTACTCGGGTCATATGTGGTGAGGTCCTGGGTAGTGTCCAAGGCCAGGTTGGACAGGGCTTGGAGCAACCTGGTTTAGTGGAAGGTGTCCCTGCCATGGCAGGGCATGGAATGAGATGGGCTTTAAGGTTCCTTCCAACACAAACCATCCTGTGATTCTTTCTGTGACAGCAGCTCACCAGTGGTGTTGTCTTGCACAGCATAAAATGATGTCCAGGGCTGGAGAAGAGCCCCAGCTGTGCAGAGGAAGCAGGGCTGGCTGGGACACAGAGCCAGGGACACTGCAGGCCCTGCCATGCACCCACACCGGGCTCTGGGACTGCTCTGCATCCCTGCAGCTGTGGACACAGAGAGCCTGCAAGGCCTGGATGACATGAAATCCCAGGCAGAAAGAAATTACGAGAAAGGAAAGGAGCAGGAACAGCTACAGGTCTGCTGCAGAAAAAGCAATCCCATCATGAGAGACATGTAGAGAGCAGCAACAGCGGTGGAGCGTGTGGTTGCAGGTGTGGGAGCAGCCACCAGCCCTGGGCACTGTGGCACAAGGCTCCCCTCAAGGGACACAGCTCTGTACGTACCGTCCGTGCCCGGCTGATCAGAGACCGGACCAAATCCTTAATGCTGTTCGTTTTGTTTCTTTGGAAAATCACAGTGGCTTGAGTCTGGCCAGACACCGTGAGGAGTGGTGTCCCTGGCCACCCCAGCTCCAGCTCCGGAGGGTGCACATCAGACATGAGGGGGAAGTAGGTGCCCGATGTTAGCTCAGAGTTGAGGGAGAACCTGTCTCCAGTGTCTGTCTCACCAGGGTCAGCTTCTTTGTCTTTCATTGCACTGGGGTCTGGGAAGCTTTGGTTCCTCTGATGGCTGATATACTCCATGTCCAAGGTGGAAAGAAATGGCAGCTCCCTCTCCTCGGCGATGGCGCTCAGGTAGCCGCGCTCCCCCTGCTCAAGAAAGGCATCGATGGCCAGCCTGGCTGTCTCGCTGTGCTGGAGCACCAGCGGGGTGGGCTCCCTCCACCACGGCTTCTTCAGCTGTTCCAGGCGGCTCTTCAGTGGCCCAGACACCCCTTGCTGGCTCCCATAGCTGCGGTGGAGCTGGGGCCTCACCTCGACTGCCAGGTAATTGAACATGACTGGAACTGCTGATGCAGAGAGGTGTCTCTCCTGCTGGATTTGTCCTGTTTCCGTCTTCAGGTGTTTTCTGCCCCTCCTGCACACCTGAGCTCCTCCCAACAGGTTCCTTCAGGACTCAGCATAAGCTCAACTCCTTAATCACCAGGTTCAGCCTCCCACACCGAGGGAGGAGCTGGCTTTCCCCAGCTCCCTCACCCAACTTCCCCAGACACACCTGATACTGGGTGCCCAGAATGTCCCTTTTGCAAGGGGCAGAATATCAGCTCTTCAAGGTGTTTCTTCCTTTTCCTTGTAACTGATTAATGTACTGTCCTCCCCTCCTCTTCCCTTCCCTTCCCTAGAGAGGTCCCCACCCTTGGCCTAGCAGGCTCTAACCTGTTTTGTCCCTCACTGCACTCACAGTGGAAATGCAGATGCTGGAACTTGTTCCTGCTTGAAATTTGTTCCAAATCAAACACGCTGCTTAGTGTCAGTTATAATGAAACACAAATATCCCAAGTGGGTAATCAGACTGAGCAGAGAAACTTACTCATTCCTGAGCCACAGACAATGCTCCTCCTTAGCATTTCTTGGGAGCTTGGCTCTGCTACACCAGCATCTGGCAGAGAAGCCAGAACATTCTATTTTTTGACACACAGAGTCATGGTGTTTGTAGGAATCACAGCAGGAATCTTGGTCATTAGGTACTGCAGGTGAGAAGAGCAGTATTTCATGTGCTCTTTTAATGTCTCCCTGGAAATCCTTCAAGGTCATTCAGCCTTAGGAGTCTGGTGCTGTGTGAATGATGATACTGCCCACATGCTGCTTACTGGGGATTAGTTAACTCCAGCTTCCCAAAAGCATCATGGAGTTATTTTTGGAGGAACAGTACAGGCAGACATTGCTATGTGAATTAAAGCACAGTGTAAGAACACACCACGAGAACACAACACGTGAAGAACTGCAGAGGAGCAGAGATCAGCTCACCCTGGAGCTACTGAACTCCACACAGGCTACTAGGGGAATGAAGGTCTGGCTGGAGAGTTATGTGATCAATTGGTCTTCTATCGACAAAACTGCCTGAGAATAAATTCCATTAAGTCATATAAAAGCCAAATGTGTGCCCTGGAATAATGAGACAATAGTCAATGGAGAGGGATGGCCATGCCTGAGTGTGAACCTCACATCCAGACACCAGGCTCTAAGTCAGGTGGGATGAATCATGTCCCCAAGGGACTACCACTCTCCAGGGACTACAGCTGAGTGGGATGATTAGTTTGGAGTAGCTGTCTAGTCTCTAGATGCCTGAAGTCAGAATGAAGCCTCAGCAGGACTGCAAATGGCAAGAACATTGCATTGATTGAATCAGAAAACAGAAGTTGGCTGCCAGTTGGCTGTGATGCAGTGAGTAAGGGCAAACTGGGGATGGGACATAATGATAACAAAACTGCGGGCACAGAAGTGTTACAGGTGAAATTAAATGTTAGAACAGCTAAAAGAATAACTTAAAATGTGAACAGTAACCCAGTGTAAGGAAGTTTGGGGAAGTAACAAAGGAAAGGAGCTGTAACATGGTGGGTGTTTTTCTGGAGCTGCTTTGCCAGGGTAATAACATAAAATAAGTGTACCGTCACCCTATTTTTTGGCTTCCTAAAGAGATGAAAATCTAGCTGAAAAGAGTGTGAATTTAAAAAAAGTCATCAAATGCATATTTTCTGCTGCTGATTCTATAAAGAGGATTTGTTAAAGGGATTTGTACTGTCTCCAGCTGGTGTTTGGTAATGATCTACTCTCCCTCCAGTAATTTCTCATGGTCCTCAGCACATGAAAGCACACACGATGTAAACATCTCCAGCCTGGCTTGTCAGGCCGGGCTCCTTCAGGGTTGGTGGGGAGGCAGAGATTTCTAGGAGTCAGTTACCTCACCCTGCAGCAGACACCTGGAACAGGCCTGATAAAATGTGCCTTGGAAGTTCTTATCTCTCCCCTCTGAGCAGCAGGAGCTTGGGCTGCCCAAGTCAGTGACAGAGGTTTACCATGCAGACATCTAAAATTAGATGAGAGGTGTCCTGTCCCTGCTGTCTGGCAAAAGGCTCTAACTGGCACTCCAGAGGGTGATTGGCCAACACAGGATGTGGGAATCCCATCAGCCCATTTTTGCTAGCTAAAACCAGGGATCTTATCTGGAAGTGTTGTCTACACACCTGCAATCAACAGAGAAAAAGACAAGGGAAAAATTCCCCTCTGGCTGAACACACGCCCCAAGTACCAATGTCAATGTCCCTGGGCAGATCTGCTCTGGCTGATATCTGAGCTCAGCCAGGATCCAAGCATTAGGCAATACTTCATTCTTCCATCCCACAGATGTTCTTGGAGCTCAGCAAACACAAACAACTTGCCTGGGCTTTCCACAGAATGTACCTGCTGCTTCCTCTTCACGCACACATGGGAGGCAGCCTGCCAACCTGTTTCATGATAGACCTTGGAGAGCACTCGGGAACATGAGAAGCCAGATTTGCTTTTTTCCCCCCCTCTATTTCAGACTGAAACCCAATCTTCCATTTCAAAACATCAAGGTGCTCCTCAGTGCTGTACCAGCATTTCTGGGAGGCGCTGCATAGCAGCACTTCACTGCAGAATTCACTGGCCAGACGCACTCAGCCAGCACAGCAGGATGAAAAAAGTCCCAATTTCAGTTCCTGCACTGAGCTCTGTCAGCACTGAACCCACAGAGCAGTGCAAAGTCAAGTCTCCCCATTTTTTGTCCAAGCTTCCCAACCATGGCATTACAGCACCTAAGCACAGCGGCAGCACACAAATTCCATGTTTCATCTTTTCCATTCATTTCTTAAGACCCTCTCAAATCAGGGGCGAGGCAGCCTCACACCTGCGCCACTGAAGGAGGGCACTGGGCACCAATTGCCAGCCACAGGGCAAATCATCCAACCACAAAGGATGTCAGGGGATCCCCATGCCCTGCTGCCCCTGCCCAGCTGTGTGCCCAGCACAGAGGTTCTGTCCTGTTGCAGCTGCAAGGTCTCTACCACCCCTGTGCCATGCAGGGAAGCCAACGTGTGTCCATGGAGCTGCTCTGGGGGCTGATGCACAGCTGGCAGGAGATGGACCACAGTGTGCTGCTTCCCTCAGCTGCTGCCCTGTACTAAACATGGGAAAAAGCACTTCCAGACACCCCTCTGTGTCTCCTTCCAAAGGGAATCCACAGAGATGGAAATGGATGTTGTAACATCACTGTGGCTGGCTACCAGCAGGAAGAGGGTGCACAGGGAAGGATGTGGGACATTGAGTAAATCTGCCTAAGATGCCTGGTTTTGACAGAACGTGGAGCAGCCCAGGAGCTGGCAGGTAGGATGAGGAATGAAGGAACCCAGCTCATTGTGATGTAGTCATTAATGAAGACTTTGCATGTGCAGGACTACTCACTTCTCACAAAAATGAGAATGAGGGAGCTCTCACTTCTGGAAAAGCTGCAGCAGCTTCCCAACAGGATCCAGGCTCAGCAGCTTGTGCAGGGCCCTCTTACATGAACACACCTGCATGAGACAGCAACAACAGGACAGCAGATGTTGCTGGTTACAGATGTTGCTCTTTATATAATAAGTTAAACTGAGGAAGTTCGTCTTGGAAAAAAAAAAAAACAAAATGCCTTTTTTTTATACACAGAGGGCTCCCTAGAAGAAGATGAAAAAAATTTCAAGGCATTTGGGAGTGTTTCCACTAACCTGCCCCAGATCCCTCTGGTGAATCTATTGTCACTTTACCTAAACTCCCTGGCTGCTCCCAGCATATCACGTCTGGAATAGTCACTGAGATGTAGCAGCAGAAGGTAGAATCACTCTCATGTGAGCTCTGCATTCCCAGTGGAAGGATGAGGCCCAGCCATCTCTTCTGTCCCACAAATGAGCAGAGCAAGCTGCCCAGCAGGTTGAATGACTGTAAGCAAAACAAGTACTCCCTCAACATGTTCAGCAACTTCAAGAAGAACACATGGAGGCTGCACAGGGCAGCCCTGAACGCCTGAAGAAGGGGCAGTGGTCAAAAACAAAAATCCTCACCAGAGGAGTCTGGGAAGGATTAGAGGATTGTTAATGTGCAACTGCCCCATCAGGGTGCAGGAGGCCAGGCAGCCCACGGCACCCACAGGTGAGAGTTCCTCTGCAGGGGCAGGAGGGGCGGGCACTCCGTCAGCAGCGGAGCCCACTGACCACTCGTGTTGAGCCTCAGGGTCTTTCCTATGTCCTTGCCAACTTTCCCAGGCTCTCACATAAGCTGCCACCCTCTCCTTGCCTTCTCAGACCTTCAGGAAAACATGGAGCATGCTGAGGGCCAGGCTGTGCAGACACAATGAGGCCAAAGATGGAGATCCTGTTCCCTGCAGCACAGGAACACCATCACCCAGAGAGCTGGGACAGCTGTCCATCCAGCCTGGGAGAGCTGGACACAGTGCAGGTCAGTGAGAAGGACAGGATACAGATTCATCACAGCCTCTTGCAGAGAAAAGAGCAAAGAAGCCTTGTTTGGAGCTCATTTAGATCACAGAGATCAGACAAGCAGGGGAGATGTGAAGAGGCAGATGGGGAGAGGAGGAGCCCATACAGGGACATCTCCACTAGGAAACATGGACAATGCTCTCAGGCACAGGGTGGGATGCTTGGGGTCCTGTGCAGAGCCAGGAGCTGGACTCAGTGATCCTGATGGGTCTCTTCCAGGTCAGGATATTCCATGATTCTAAATTAGCTGCCACCAGCATCACCCAAGAAAAAACCTCATGTACAAGGCTGTGGCCATGACCAAACCCCGCACTGGGGCCTGGAGTAACCTCTGCATTTGTGGCACAGCTCTCTGAGCAGAAGAATTAGGAAGACACAGCAGTTTCTAGGTATGGATTAACTCAAACACAATTCCTTATACTGGGACTTTCCTCTTCCTGGAAGGAAGCACCCAGTGCAGCTTTGGAGCTCAATGCCTCATTCAGCACACATTGGGTATCAGCAAACCTC